GGTGGTGGTGGTGGTAGCATTCGAACACGTTATCACTCAGCCACCATTGCCTCCTTGTCTTTGAACGCAGGTTCACTAAATCGACTGTTATTTGAATTTCGTCCCGAAGCTCTAGTTTGTCTTTCAACTACGGAATTAACCCTCATATTGCAATTCATTTTGAACAATAAAGAATGCTTCCTGGTGAGCCATTCCATGTTGACATCGCTTACTCTGGTGTAACTGATACAGCTATTATTAGTGTGCTCTAGATCAAATTGTTGCTACTTCCGACGTGTCTTTGGTAATTGGTTTGTACTTTCACGGCTATGCTTGTAAACGTGAAGTTTTTCAAATTGCCATTTATACTTACGCATTGTGCATGTTGTCAAAAGGTGGAAGAACCGGACGAGTGGCTGCGTTACGGAAACCCATGGGAAAAAGGTCGCCCGGAATATTGTTACCCGGTCAATTTTTATGGTCATGTGGAAGATGCCGGAAACGGTCGGAAACGCTGGGTTGACGCGCATACCGTATTTGCAATGCCCTATGATACACCGGTCCCGGGTTACCGGAACAACACGTGCAACACACTACGTCTCTGGTCTGCCAAAGCACCCAAAGGATTTGATTTGAGCATCTTCAATACGGGTGATTATATTAATGTGAGTGATCTCAACCACAATTTAACTTTGCTGGTTCTGTAGACTATTCTGGTAAATTATGCACTTTATTAATCCCAAATGTGCATAATCAGTCAAATTGGGGACACAAAGCCATATTTCATCCCCATTTATAGCTATGAGTAGCATAGCAATAGTTGTGAAAAATTACACGGACACCCATGGAGTATTTTCTGTAGCCGTGAATTTTATGTTGGTAAACCTGTTGAATAAAAACGTTTCTCGTATTGATTGGAATCAACACACGTAGGGAGCCAAATGCTTCTACTATAATTTTATAAGCTCAATCTTTGCCACCGGTAAGCCACCCAATACCAAGTTGATCGATACCGCAGTATTGATGTTAAACTAAGAAGTTTCTATCAGTAATAGTTTTTTTAGTTCGTTTGTGGGCTCCTTCTGAAGTGTACTTTGACATCCAGGCAACACTGGAAGTACACTAACATTGTTCAGAACATAAATTTGTGATGTGGATATTCTTTTCGAATTGACCTCTTGGTCATTCGGTAGGTATTCCGAGGACGACTTTCACACAATAGCTTTCGGGAATTAGTGTACGTTGTTATGTTCATCTCAGTCTATTGCTTATCGGCCAAGCAGGTTCAGAACAGATGCATAGTTTTATGCAGTCGTCTTCTCACGCGTTCCAGTTTTGTTTGCTGCTTTGTAGAAACTCATCCTGTCAATTACTGAAGTAAAAAATAAGGGTGAACACAAGGCTGTGTTATCTCCTTGAGCTATAAAAAAAGTGTGCTTATGTTTCATACTTGTCAGGGTCCAAACCTATCTTGACCGCTTCTCGAGCAATTTTGGAATCAGCCTTTTCCGGCTCCTTTAGGTATGGTATTTGTCCATGACTGATCCTGCCTATTAACTATTAACTTTTTTTCGCTTTCCTGCTGGTAAAAAAAATCACCATGAGAAGGCATTGAGTAAGACATCCCCACCTTGATATTAGAAACGAACTTCCCGAGAGCATTTCTTAGGACAAAGACCAAGCCTCGTCCTCTTCGGAGACACCTCAGAAAATATGACCGAAAGTCGATGGGTAATTTCAATACTCCGGTTTTCAACGCAATCATAATGCTTGCGATCGTTACTTGCCGTTTCACGGTAGTGAGTGGAATAGCCTGGGCGAGATCTACATTCATTTTGGATGAAGTATACGGGATTGGGTAATCAGTTGGCGCGGCACACTGCTATCATTACGTGTGAGGTCTGTGTGAGGTGTTCTTGTTTTGATCATATTGGGTTAATCTACTTCCGCCTTTCTGAAACACATACACTTTATATTCACCTCACACATTGCTATTAGCTTTAAACATCTGAAATCCGCTAGAATCAGCGAAGTT